GGGCTCCAGATGCCAGGCTGAGCTCATCCACATCCCGTGGGCACGGCCTTGGGGTGGGGAGGGGTCCTGTGGGGTGGATGAGGGGGATTGGAGGTGGACAGGACCCCCTTGGTGACCAGAGGAGCTCTGTGAATTCCTTTTTTTTGCATGAATTCCCTTTTTTTCCCCATGAATTTCCTGCTTTCCCGTGAATTCCCTGTTTTTCCATAAGTCCCTTTTTCCCATGAACTCCCTTTTCTCCATAAATTCCCTTTTTCCCATTAGTACCCTTTTCCTGTAAATTCCCTTTTTCCCGTTAATCCCCTTTCCCATGAACTCCCTGTTTTCCCATGAATCCCCTTTTCCCCAGTAATCCCTTTTCCCATGAATTCCCTTTTTCCCATGAACTCCCTTTTTCCCAAGAATTCTCTTTTCTTCCATGAATTCCCTTTTCCCCACGAATCCCTTTTTCCCATGAATTCCCTTTTCTCCATTAATTCCTTTTTCCATGATTTGCCCTTTTTCCCATGATTTCCCTTTTCCCCATGAACTCCCTTTTCTCCATTAATTCCCTTTTCCCATGAATTTCCTTTTTCCCATTAATCCCTTTTATCCCATGAATTCCCTGTTTTTTCCATGAACTCCCTTTTTCCATGAATTCTCTTTTTTCATTAATTCCCTTTTTCCCATGAATCCCCTTTTTCCCATGAATTCCCTTTTTCCCATGAACTCCCTGTTTTCCCATGAATCCCTTTTTTCCCAGTAATCCCTTTTCCCATGAATTCCATTTTTCCATGAATTCCCTTTTTCCCACAAACTCCCTTTTCCCCCATGAATTCTCTTTTTTCGTTAATCCCCTTTTTCCCATGAATCCCCTTTTTCCCATTAATCCCCTTTCCCATGAATTCCCTGTTTTCCCATTAATTCTCTTTTCTCCATTAATTCCCTTTTCCCATGAATTCCCTTTTTCCCATTAATCCCCTTTCCCATGAACTCCCTTTATCCCATAAACTCCCTTTTCCCCATGAATTCCCTTTATCCCATGAACTCCTTGTTTTCCCATGAATCCCCTTTTTTCCTTTAATCCCCTTTCCCATAAATCCCCTTTTTCCCATAAAATCCCTTTTTCCCACAAATCCCTTTTCCCCACAAACTCCCCATTTCCCTCCAGCAGCACGAGAAGAGCCCATCCCCGGCCGTGTCGCGCCCGCGGGGTTGGGATTCCCCCGGCTCCCTGGACCGGGGCGAGCTGGAGGTGACGAGCCCGGCGCTGCGGAGCCGCCCCGTCACCCGCAGCATGGGCCAGGGTGACACCATGGAGGTGCCATCGAGCCCCGTGCGCCGAGCCAAGCGGGCACGGCTCTGCTCCTCCAGCAGCTCGGTGAGTTGGGACACACTCTGGGCACCGGGAGGGTTTTTCTGGGGCTCTGCCGTGTCCCTTTTGTCACCTCCTCGTTCGCAGGATGCGGCCGTGAGGAGTTTTTTCCACCCCAGCTCGCAGCACCGCGATTGGTGTCCCTGGGTGAGCAGCGAGGAGGAATTCCAGGATGATGGCACGGACAAGGAGCCCGGGAAGGCCGTGCCAGGATGGGAATTGGTGCTCAGGAGGCTCCTTGGCATCCGGAAATGTGACACCGTGCCCGAGGCAGAGCCTGTGGTGAGCGGCTCAAACGGGAACGGTGCCCAGGGAGTGGGAATTGGGGATGGACGGGCTCTGTTTGGGGTGAGCACAATCACAGCTGGGGAGAAGGACAAAGTGGAGAGCCTGGAGCATTG